TCCAAACCCCACTGCCTTCTCCCACCCCCCAGTATCCCAGATCTCCCTGCTCCTGTTACAAAGTGCCCCACAGCCACCCCTCCCCTGCCCCACAGCCCCAAATGGCCACAGGCCTGACCTTCTCCTGCCTCACAGCCCCATATCCAGCCTCCCACCCCACAGCCAGCCCCACATCAGCCCCCCAGCACTTCATTCAGCCTCCAACTCCACCCCCAGAGCCACAGGCAGCCCAGCCTTCCCTGCCCCACGGCAGCCTCACAGCCCTGCACCTGTCCCCCGGCCCTCCAGCCAGTCCTGTCCCCATCCCAGCCAGCCCCCAGAAACCCCACAGCCAGCCCCTGCCCCGTATCCAGCCCTTCAACCCTCCCCTGCCCCACAGCCAGTTATTCTCCCAAACCCACAACCACCCCCAGCCCTATAACCAGCCCCGACCTTCCCCAGCCCCACAGCCAGTTCCTTTCCCAAACCCACAACGGCCCCCAGCCTTCCTCAGCCCCATAACCAGCCCCAGACCAGCCCATGTCCGACCTTCCCCTGCCCCACAACCACCCCCAGCCCTCCTCAGCCCCATAACCAGTCCCGACCCTCCCCTGCCCCACAGCCCGTTCCTTTCCCCTGCCCCACAGCCGCCCCCCGGCTCCAGCCCCTCAGAACTCCCCATCTCCACAGCCCAGCCCTGCCCCACCACCCATCCCCACGCCGGTACCGGAGGGCGCTGAGCACCAGCCGGTGCTGCCGGTACCGCTCCAGCACCACCAGCAGCTCCTCGGGGTCCACGGGCGGCGGCAGCTTCACGCGGCCCGCCTTGGATTTGGCGGGGGGGTCGTGGCGGCTCTTGCGGCCCCGCGCCGGCACCGCCCGCGGGGCCCAGGCGGGGCAGAGCCCCGGGAAGGGGCCGGGGCCCAGCGCGGCCGCCAGGGCCGGGAGCGGGACGGGCCCCGGGCGGCAGCGCCTCAGCGCCGGCAGCATGGCGGCGCCGAAGTGACGTCACGGCGCGGCGGGTGGCGTCACGACCCGCGCGCGCGGCGGCACGGAAAGGGAGGAGGGAGCGGGGCATGATGGGAAATGGAGTTCGGGAGGGGTGAGGGACACGGACAC